AGCCCAAGCTGAGGGCCAGAGAGAACAGCCAATTGGATGGAGCTGGAAGATAAAAGCAAAAATGGCCAGGGTAGCTGGGCATGGTTGAGCACACCTGTCATCCCAGCAGCTTGGGAGGCGAAGACAGGAGGATTGCAAGTCTGAGGCTAGCCTTAGCAATTTAGTAGGGATCTAAGCAACTTAATGAGTCCCTGTCTCAAAAAGTAAAAAGGGCTGGAGATGTGGCTCAGTGATAAAGTACCTCTGTGTTCAATCCCCAGTACCAAAAATAAAAAAAGAAATGGCCAGTCTGGCACATGCCTATAATCCCAGCTACTCCAGAGGCTGAGGCTGGAGGATTGAAATTTTAAGGTCAGCCTGAGCAATATAGCAAGACCCTATTTCAGAAAAGGTGGGAGTAGCAGGGGGAACCTGGTACCACCATGGGCCTGGTAGTGGCTAGCCTAGCACACGTGAGTCTCTAGGTTCAATCCCCAGTACCACAAAAACAATAGAAAGAGAAAGTGAAGAACAGGTGAATCTCAGCAAGGCAGAGCTTCCAAATCCAGAGAACCGACTGCCCACTTTCAAGGGCAGTAAGGTGACAGGCGCTCTAGAGCTTCATTCTGTCCTGATGACCTCTCCAACTCCAGCAGCCTGCTGTGGGTCCAACTACTTAATCCCAACGACTAAGAAGGCTGAGGCAGGAGGATGCAAGTTCAAGGGCAGCCTCAGCAACTTAGCAAGTGGGTTCAATTCCTAGTATAAACAAAATCAACTCAATGTGGGTCAAAGACTTCAATGTATGCCCTAAAATAATAAAACCCTTAGAAGAAACATAGGCCCGAAGCTTTAGGACATTTGAGTTGGCAGTGATTTTTTGGGTGTGATAACAAAGGCACCAGCAACAACAAAAAAAAAAAAAAGAAAGAAAGAAACTGGAATTCATGAATATTTTAAAATTGTATGCAGCAGAAGATGCTGTCCACAGTATAAGAAGGCAGCCCAGGGACTGGGGTTGAGGCTCAGTGGTGGGCGCTTGCCTAGCATGTGTGAGGCACTAGGCTCCATTCTCAGCACCACATAAAAATAAATAAAAGTCCATTGACAACTAAAAAATTTTTTTTCTCTCTAAAAAAGGCAACCCACAGAATAGGAGAAAATACACAAACCATATGTCTGATGAGAAATTAATTACCAGAATATATTGAGAACTAGAGATCAATAACAACAGTAAATACCACTGGATTAAAAAACAGGCAAAGGACTTGAACAGACACTCTTCACAGTGTTTGTTTCGCCCTCACAGTCTGTTTCATTGGGCCAAAAAGTGCATGAAAAGGTTCTTAGCATCACTAACTATCCGGGAAACACAAATCCAAACTATAAGGCACCACCTTACACCCATTAGGACAGCTACTGCCCAGAAAACAGAAGTGATGTTGGCAAGCAGTGGAGAGACCAGGGCCCCTGGGTGCCATTGGTGGGAATGTAAAATGGTTCAGCACCCGTAGAAAACAAGTGTGGTGGTTTCTCAAAAAAATCAAAACCAGACCATTCTGGAAAGCAGTCTACAGATTCCTCAGACAATTTGGAATGGAACCACCATTTCACCCAGCTATCCCACAAACCTTGGTTTATACCTATAGGACTTAAAATCAGGATACTGTAGTGATGCAACCACACAGTGTTTATAGCAGCTCAATTGACAATAGCTAAGCTATGGAACTAACCTAGTTGCCTTTCAACAGATGAATGGATAAAGAAAATGTGGTATGTATACACTGTGGAATATTACTCAGCATTAAAGAAGAATAAAATTATGGCATTTGCCAGTAAAGGAATGGAACTGGAGACTATCATGTTAAGTGAAATAAACCAATCCCAAAAACCCAAAGGCCGAATGTTCTCTCTGATATGCGGATGCTAACATACAATAAGAAGAGGGGAGGCAAGAATAGAATTTCATTGGATTAGACAAAGGGGAATGAAGGGAAGGRAGAGGGGTTGAGAACGGAAAGACAGTAGAAGGAACCAGACATAACTTTCCTGGGTTCATATATGAATACACCACCAATGTAACTCTACATCGTGTACAACCACAAGAATGGGAAGTTGTACTCCATGTATGTACAATATGTCAAAATGACTCTACTGTCATGTATTTCTAAAAAGAACAAATGATTTTTTTTTTAATGAAAAACAGAGCCACCCCCTGATCCTGCAATTCTATGGGCTATATGTCCAAAAGAGCTGAAAGCAGGGTCCTGGAGAGGCATCTGGACACATACAGCCACAGCAGTATTGTCCACAGTAGCTAAAACACAGATGCCACCCAACGTCTCCATCGTGAGATCCTTGGACGAAGCCAAATGCAGCGGAAACATACAACGGGATATTCACCCTCTAAAAGGAAGGAAGTTCGAACGCATGCTGCAACACGGGCAGATCCCGAGGACAGAGCTAAATAAAATACGCCACTCACCAAAAGACAAATACCGTCTGCTTCCACTTACACCAGGTACTTAGAGTCCACATCATGGAGAGGGGGAGCAGGATGATACTTGCCAGAGATGGAGGAGGGGGTGAGGAGCTGTTATCTAATGGGTGCAGAGTTTCAGTTTTGCAAGAGGAAAAGAGCTGTGATCATTGCATCTAACACCACTGGACTGTATACTTCCACAACTGCAGACTCAGAGTATGTGTATTTTATCACAATAAAAAAGTAAGAAAAAGGAACCACTGATTCTGAACTTGTAGGTTTGGAACTTTTTTTTTCTTTTCTTTTTTCTTTCAAGATAATAGGGTTTTCAAAGTCATCCTAGGCCGGGAGACCAGGCAGCTCCGTGCCTTAGGGGACATCAAGCACATTAGAGGTAATGCTAGTCGCGGGGCAGGTCACCTAAGCAACCCGAGGTCCTCAGCCTCAAAGCCTGTGCCTGCCTCTCTCCAGGACTGGAAGGTGTCCCCTCTAGGCCCAGAGAGAGTGAGGAGGCGGGAGTGGGGAAGGATGGAAAGCAGAGGAAGGGAGGAGGAGGAGGACAAGCTGTCCCCGGTGACTTCTGACATGCTCTGACTTAATGGAGAGGAAACTCCACATGGAAACAACACAAAATATCTGTAGCCGAGAAGAAGCCTTCCCTTGGGTTAGAGCCAAATTGAGAGAGCAGTTGGAAAAGTGGGGTGGGGGTAGAGAGGCAGAGGGATGCCCAGGGGAACCAGGGTAGGGACCTAGAGAAGCCAGTATCACGGAAGCTAACGGGGAGGGAGGCCGAGAGGGCTGTGAGGTCCTGAGGGAGTCCCTCGGGGACCTAAGATGGGGGGCGGGGGGGGGGGGGACAAGGCCACAAACACCATCATCCCCTTTCACCCATGGCACTCTATGGCTTTGCCAAGTCCTCTCGGGCATGTCATCTGATTCGCACAGCAGCCCTAGCCGCTAGGTGTTAGGTGTTCCAACCTCAGAGCTGAAGTTCAGTGTCAACCCTGGTCTGTCCAGCCTCTGGTCTTCCATCCTGGAATCATTGTCCCAGGTTTGGACTCAAGGAGGGGAAGAGTCATTCAGTCCCTCTGCTCTTTCTGGAAAAGTCTTTCCCAAACTGAATGAAATGTGGTTTAATAAAAATATTGGAATATGTCAAAGAGGAAAAGTAAAACCTGTTTTTGCCACCAGCTCCCAGAAGCCCTTGTGCAAACCCCTGGGGCAGAGTCTCTGTCACCTCATCCTGAAGAGCAAAGCAGGGTAAAGGCAAACAGGTCTGAGGCCAGGCACTGCAGCCCCAGAAAGGAAACTCGGCCCACAGTCAGGGAGGCCAAGGCAGAGCCTAGTGAACACCCCAGGGGGGCACAGAACTCAGGGTAACCCAGGTGGCCCTGCAGAATATTCCCCAGAGGTTTCTCCGGGTGAAATCCCTGCTGGCCTCCCAAATCCCCTTCCTGCAGGCTGGTCACATCATCCTGCCCTTCTTACTCCAAAAGGGTCCTCATTCTCCTAGGACAATGAGAAACTGCCCTCCACCCTAGTGACACACCCCGCACACCCACAACTGGGCACCTGCAGCCACATCTGTACTATCTGTAGCTCCTGGCCAGAGCTGATGGCGTGAGCACAGAACCTGTTTAGCCACAGACTTGTTTTTTCTAAGTAGAAGTGACACATTCTAAAATAATAATAAAAATGGGCTGGGGTATAGCTCAGTGGTAGAGTGTATGTTTAGCATGTCCAAGGTCCTCGGTTTGGTTCCCAGCACCCAAAAAAAAAAAAAAAAAGTCTAATAAATATCCCAGGTAACGGTAAGGGAGAGGAAACAAATGTACAGTAAATATATTAACCAGTATCACACGTTGTTTATTTTTGTTATCAAGCGTTACATACTGTGCATAGTTGTATGTGCCTTAGGTTTGCTTACACCAGTGTCACCACGAACACGTGAGTGACGTTTTATACTACAAGGTTATTAGGCAATAGGAATTTTTCTGCTCCATGTTGCAGGGTTCACAGTTACATGTGGAGCCCATCATTGACCAGACTGTTAGTTGACGCCTGACTGTACTCATCAAATGGAATCAATATTGTTCTTTTCAGGGAGTTGACAAAGAGAAAGTGCCACCTTTTGGGGTCCTGTGGCCTTGGTTGAATGCCAATGATCCAGGGAAGTCATCAAGGGGACCTGGAGGTCTTCCAACATTAATGCTGTTAAGGTAGAAGGACCAAGGCCACACAGCCTGGATATGTGGGGCATCTGTGTGACTGCAAGAGCACTTTGGTGCCCAGTCTCTGGGGACACGCTCTTGGGTAATAGGTAGAGCAGCACAGGATCAATTTTTCACACCAGGCCCCTTTTGAGAAGTGAGTTAATAATTAAGCTGCAACTATCAAAGACAAACAGGAAAGATGGCGATTCCTCATGTCCTGAGGCCAAGGCCCTCTACAGAACAGGCAAAGCACGCTTCCCTAAACACCAAGAACTTGCTAAAAAAAAACAAACAAAAAAAAAAAAAAAAACAAAACTCAAAGTGGTTTGGCACCAATATCACTTTATTTTAATAGCCAATCGTGTTATTGAAGAAAAGGCTGTGTTCTCGGCCCATCTTGGCTATGGTTGGGTTCTGCTTAGGGAACTGTCTGGAAGATACGTAGGCTCCTGGGCCTGGGGTTTTCTGAAACCAGAAAAGAAAATAAGGACTGATGAGGCAGTGACACCGAAACCTGGCTGCTGGGTTGGATGTGGATGGTGGATGAGTCCCCTGTGCAGGGACACAGGACCATACCAGCCTGCGGGGTCTTTGAATTGGAGGGTAGATGCCCTGGGAGCTGAGGCGGCTCCTGTCAGCATCACCGCGTGGCTGGAGAGGGGCGGAGACATGGGCAGGACCATCCAGGGCCCACGGGAACCTGCTAGGGAAACAGGGTCACACCCCACCATACCTCAAGGCCCTCCACCTGCACAGCTCCTGTCCCAGGGAATGCCACCTGCCCTGCTCCACTAGAAACAAGTGGCTGGAGAGACCTGATTCTGAATCTGGATGGTCTAATTCCAGAGCCCAGACTACCTCCAAGATATGGCTGAGTTTTATCACTAACCCAGTGTGAAAACGCAAGGTGTTTGTCAAGTGGGGTCTGTGGCCCCAGGGCCCAAAGTGTTCCCAAAGGATCCACGAGCTCTTGTTTGTAACCATCAGGTTCCCATTTTGAAGAAACTGCATAATGACTGAGGACAAGCGTTTCAGAGTCCAACAGGCCTGGATTTGAGTCCCAGTCCTACCTCCACTGGCTCACTGTGACCCTGGGCCATCAATCAGGGCACAGTGCTTGCCGATAGGAGGGGATAGGGCTCACTGGAGTCCCTTCAAAACAGTCCATACTTGGCAGGGCCCGGAACAAGCCTCCCACGCTCACCGCCCCCCATTCTCTATTACCACCTACTGGTCATTTCCATCCTTCCTCACAGTTGGCTGTCTCTCCAGGAGACCAGTGAGGGTACAGACAGTGTTTGCCTGAGAGGGGAATGGAGCGGTCAGCCTGGTCAGCCCCAGAGGATGAGATCAGCTGCCTACAGAAGCCGCTCTCAATGACAGCATGTTTCCTTGCCAAGAGCAGAGCAGCAGCCTGGAAATCTAATCAAGTCTTGGCCACACGTCAAAGGAAGCGGAAGCCTTTATTAGTGCGATTAATGAGGATACAACATGTGCGTGGAGTCCTGGGCGGCCAGGCCACAGAACCGGAGGTTCAGCAGGCCTGTGCCAGCAGGGCCACCCTGCAGGAGGCTGCCAGTTGTGGCTCATCCACCCTGAAAACACCCAGCTCGCCGCCCCGTGCCCTGATTTCACCAAGTGACCTTCTGTGGTCCTTGGCTTCCAAGAATATTTCCTGTAAGAGAGCACAGGAGGCCCCCCTGGGTGGATGCTTCTAAATTAATGCTACACATGATGGTGTGTTGCTCAGTATCCTGGGAGTCTGGTTAGCATGACTCAAGTCTTCCTGAGAATGCTCAGTCCTATTGGTCCTGACAGACATCTGTTTGGGGATCATGGTGATGTCACTAGGTGATCCTCTAGACCCCTGTTGTGGGTCTGCCTGCGATTTTACTGGTTGAGCCTCCCCAGCACACCTCCAAAGAAAGGTAACACTGCAGTCCAGCCAGCTACAGTCTAGCCCATCCTGCCCAATGTCCCAGCTTCTCCCCATCCCCTTGAACCTTTAGAGAAGCCCCTCTCTTATAAGCAGAATTTATATTTCTATCCCCCCAGTCATCTCAAATGAGTCTACAAACTTTCAAACTGGGGCTCAGGCTGGGCGGCAATAAGACCATGGGAATTAAAATGGTCTTTTGGCATCAAAAAATATTTTTCAAAGCCACAGTTGATAATGCTTTTGTAATCATTCTTGGTCTTCTCAGGGCCTTGGAGACCCTGCACACCCCCAGAACCTGCTTTCTCCACAGAATCGAGCCTCTTCCTTTCTGTCCTCTGTGAGTCCTTGGAGCAGGGTGATGGCTCATGTCTTAAAGGTCCCCTTTGGTTCGGCAATGTTTCTGCTTCAACGTTTTGCTTCCTTGAGCTCCAGGAAGCCACCCACAAAGAACATCAGTTCTGGATGGCTGGATGTGGCCATGCACACTGCTCACTGCAGTCCATTAACAGTGCCCTCTCAAAGCATCCAGGTCACAGCACCAGTGGCTGACGACCATGCTGGCTATTTTCAACCAACCCATAATTCAGCTACAGTCTTCGGGCCTAGAGTCACCCTGGGTCTGAGGCTGGCTGAGGCTTGCAGATGCTGGAGCTCCACGCTCCTTCCTGCCTGACCGGCCACACTTGAGGACTGTAGGTGATTGTAGTCCCTGTCCCCCACCTTCCACACCCAGGGAGTCTTAAGACACCCCCCAGCCACACCTCTGGGGGTGTCTGTCTTTTAGAATACTCACTGAATAGCTGGGCTTGAACCGGGGTACTCTGGATTGAAAACAAGAAGTAATGGAACTTGGTGAAGGTATTTTTACATTATAGTGACCTGGTCCTGGGCCTTCACGCTGGAGGACATAAAAAAATAAAAATTAAAAATAAGAAAGTTTCACTATTACTAATGCTTGATATATTTTATATATATGTAATAAATAAAAAAATATATATATCTTATGTTTTATATATATATTATATATCTTATATAAAATCTCAAGCCTTTTACAAATAAATACATGAGTTCATATGATATGGTTTTTAAAAAAAATTCCCAGATTTGGGCTTGAGAGATCACACTGAGGTATAACCTAGAAAATGGGAAGTGGGAATAACACCTGAGAGACCCTCCTCAGCTGCCTCATGCATAATGTGAGGCTGGAGAAGACCTTATCCCTTTGGCCCTGTCAGGGGAACCACTTTCCCACACACAGGCCCCTGTTCCCATCCACGCGCCTCCCGCCACGCTTGCTGCTCTGAGCCGTTTGCTTCATAAAGCACACTTATTCCTTCATATAAATGCAATATCTGTTTTATGAGTCCTAAAAAGTATTCACAGCAATTCACTGAAATAAGCTGTGAGATTAGCATAAATGAATGAACACAACTAAAAAGACAAACACTCCAATAGAAAAATCAGCGTAAGGCAACTCACAGAGACAAAACACAGATGTTCAATGAGCGCGCTGCGGGGAAGAGGGCTTCCACCACATTAATCACCAAGTAAGGTCTAATTAGGACAGTGACATTCTCTTTTTGGAAGACAGCATCTAGAACATGAACAAAGGCTAAGGAGGAAAGGAGAGAAAGATAAAGGAAGGAAGAGACGCAGGGGAGGGAGGGAGAGAGAAGGAAGCAGGGGAGGAAGGAACCCCAAGATTTAACAACAAGCTCAGGCCGGGCTACAGATGCTGGCGGAATATAAATCCAATCAACCTTTTCTGTAGTGCAATCTGGAAAGATGTGAAATGGTTTAAAAATGAACTTGCCCATGCAGAGGGAGGGAGGCAAAGAAGAAAGGAGCGATCACCAGGGTGCTGCAGGGTCCCGGAGAAAAATCATGAGTCCTGAGCCTAGATAAAGGAGGGTGGGGACTGGAGAAGGCAGGGAGAGGACAGGGGAGGGAAGAGGAGAGGGACCCCCCAAACACCACACTGCCATGATGCTGACGTGGTGACAGCCTTTTCCTTTTCCCCAGGAATTTACTTTTTTCCGCTCCCATTTTCAAGTAGCCAGAGTTCACTGTCTCAGGGGTGGGACCCCGCAAAACCCAGAAATGAGCCCTTCTGGCATGATGTCTTGGATCTGTTTCTAAATAATGCAGGAATTGGGGGGAACAGGTGGGAAAACGGATGGGGTAAAAAATGGCCAGGGGTTGACCATTGTGGAACGGGCCCATGAGGCTGTAACATAGTGTTCTATACTATTATATATTTATTTATTTGTTTGTTTATGGTAGCAGGAATTGAACACAGGAGCACCTAACCACTGAACCACATCCCCAGCCTATTTTTATTTTTAATTTTGAGACAGGGTCTCGCTAAGTTGCTTAGGGCCTTGCTAAGTTGCCGAGGCTGGCTTTGAACTTGCCATCCTCCTGCCTCAGCCTCCCAAGATGCTGGGATTACAGGCCTGCGTCACCATGCCCAGCTATGTATGTGTTTTTAAAGTTTTCACAGTACAAAGTTTAAAACAATGTATATTTATTATTTTGACCCAGCTATTCCACTTTTAGACATTCATCCTAAGAAATAATTGAGAAATGTTTACAAATATGCACTCACCAAGACATTCAGTGTAACATTACTTTAAAAGTTTAGAAATAAACTAAATGACCAGTGATGGATGCCTAGTTAAACAGATTGATTCTCCCACCCAGCTGTCCAGTGTTGATGAAACTTTATAGGCATAAAAGGATTCCCAAATATCATTAAGTGAAAAATGTAACCTTAAAATGTGTTTATAAAAATATTTCAGGGGCTGGGGTTGTAGCTTAGTGGTAGAGCGCTTGCCTAGCAAGTGCGAGGCCTGGGTTCGATCCTCAGCACCATATAAAAATAAGTAAATGAAATAAAGGCATTGTGTCCAAATGCACCTAAAAATTAAATATTAAAAAAAAATTCATAGCTTGGGTTGTGGCTCAGTGGCAGAGTGCTTGCCTCACACATATGAGGCACTGGGTTCGATCCTTAGCACCGCATAAAAATAAACAAAATAAAGATATTGTGTCCATGTATAACTAAAAAATATTTTTTAAAATTTTCAAATGACTTATACATGGATGGTAGCTTTCTCCAGGTGATGGCATGTTAAGTTAAAAAGGAAAACAAAAAAATTTCTGCTTATCTGCCTTTTGGGGCAAGGGGTGGGGGATAGATACCAGGATTGAACTCAGGGGCACTCGACCACTGAGCCACATCCCCAGCCCTATTTTGTATTTTATTTAGATACAGGGTCTCACTGAGTTACTTAGTGCCTCACTTTTGCTGAGGCTGACTTTGAACTCACGATCCTCCTTTCTCAGCCTCAAGCTGCTGGGATTACAGGCGTGCATCAACACGCCCAGCTTGCTTATCTACATTTTAAAAATTTTTCTGCAATGAATCTGAGTGTTCTTGAAAAATGAAAAAATACTAATGTATAAAAAGGGAATATGGAAATTGGGTAAATAAAAATAAGGAATTTAAAAAAATAACGATAAAGCCAACAGTAAGGTTAGAACAGAGCCATATATTGGGTACCATCCTTCTGGTAACTGAGGCTGGTCACAGATGAGCCCTGGGGGCCAGGGGGTAGCAGAACAAACACTGGTATAGACCTCCTGCAAGATTTAAGAGCCAGGCTTTCCTGTTTGCTCTAGCTGGTGGCACAGAAATGTAATTAGGACTGCCACTCTCAATTATTCTACCATGAATGGAATATGTTATTAACAGACATGCACAAGCCTAATAAATCAAGGGACAAGTGCACCTCCTTGTTTTATACTTCATGACAGAGAGATGAAAGGGGTAACGTTTTCAAACTATGCATAAATGTGACAAAGGTCCCTATTGGGGTGAGGGTCTCTGGTGTGCACTCTGCACCAACATTGAAGAAATCATAAACACGAGGAAGCACAAGCCCCAGGAATCCAGTTGTGCAACCTCTGACTGTAATAGCGCAGCTCTGAGCTGGATGGGTAGCTGGCCAAAGATGCCGCTGTGTGCACCATCAGTTCCACACCTACAACTGCCTTGCCCCTGCTCCCAAGCCTAAGGTGGCTTTCTTTCTGAGCTTCCAGATCACGGGTCCCTTAGAAGTCTGAGTGTCAAGTGCAATGAAGCACTGATGAGGTCCCATGCCGTCCAGCAGCTGCCCTGCATGGGCTGGGTTACCTGATTCAAAGGAACTGGGTCATGGAACAGAAAGAAATTACTGCCACTTGTGGCAGATGGAATCCTTAAGAGGGAAACATTAGGGAAATGGGTCCAGACCCAAGTACATATTTCAAAAGCCACAGGAATGCTGCGGCAGAGCCTTGACAGCTCTGAGACTGGTCACTTGAGGGTCCTGCAATAGCCAGGAAACAGCTCTGGCAGGGTCCTGCCTGCAACCCCACCTGAGGGCGTTGTAACTGGGCAGAGGCTTGGGACGTATCTTTTCTGGACCCAGTTCAATGGGAGGGTGTTTACAACAAGGAGGACTTTTGTAGTAGGTCTGTTTGGAAGTTGAGCACTCTGCTCCCTGGTGTACCAGGGATCACTGAGAGTGATCCGGGCTTCAGTCCCACACCGTGTGATGTGCACGGGAAGGGAGGCCTCCGGGTTCAGCTAAGCTCTCGGCACCTCTCACACAATCCCATGGCCCGTTCCCTACACCTTGCTTTTGTCAGCGCTTTGCTGTGGCAACTCGGGTTTTCCCAAAGCCAAACCTCTCAGAGGAGAACAGAATAGCCACCAATTAAAGTCCCAGGATTTGACACCAAGGGAAACTTCAGGAAAGGTTTTCATGGGACCCTCCCTCTGCTTTGGGGGCCTAATTCCAGCTCAACCCTACTGCTACCTGGTAGTGCATCGTCTTCCCTTTGAGAAAGTCCTATTTGACTACTAGTTTCTTTCTTTCTTTCTTTCTTTCTTTCTTTCTTTCTTTCTTTCTTTCTTTCTTTCTTTCTTTCTTCTTTCT